TGCGACTACCAATGACAACAGACGTAAAACGAAAGTTGAATCACAGATAATTTTCGGCACAATCGCATTGACATTGGATCTCGTTTCAGCTACGACCTCGCCAAATGCTGTTGCTATTGCTACTTTGCATTGTGTACAGATTTTTTTTTTCGTCTCCTTCTCCTGCTATCTCTCAGTCGTACTTTTCCATTTGCCAATGCGAATTTCATTGCAAAGCAATAAATGGAAAATTGTTTTAACATGAATCGGCTTTTACGTCTTGCACCCTGGCTCCTGCAGAACACATGGAAAATCTCTGTCATCAATTTGACCTCAGAAATATAAAACACAGTCACGGAATGGAAGAACAATGAAGATAATGCAGAGAGAGAGAGAGAGTGAACGGAACATAAGAAACACACAGCATAAGCATTCTTATGTTTCGGTTGTCTTGTTATCGGCGCAATGGGAAAAGTGATTTTTTGCCTCTTCTTTGTCGAACGAACCCAACAGAGCATCCATTCATGTGATACCACTTTTTTTCCTGCACAGAAATCAAGGCCAAACTCATTGAGAAGTATCTTGTTGATGCTGGAAAAAAAAAAGAGTGGGCCCAACTAGACACAGTCAAGCAAAGAACAGTGACAGAAAAAAAAGCTCAACACAAACATTTGAGGCTTTTTGATACGTATGAATTCTGTGACAATAAAAATAGTTATAAATGAGGATTTACACAGTTTGACATTGGAGTGTGAATATAACTGAGCCGCGTACGTGTGTGTAATTCATTTCAGTTCTTAGCGTTCGCATGTTTCTTCTCCGGTTTGAGATTGTGCTTTGGATGACCACTTTTTGTTTTGAATCACGATTTTCCCACAAGATAAATGGATGTCGTGCAGCAGTTAACATGAGAAAGGACCGTCCACTGTTGTGTTGTGTTGTGTTGGCGTAGGCTAGTTTTCTTCTTTTTTTTCTATTTATTAGCAGATTATCGCACACGCAACCGACAAGGAGAAAAAAAAAAAGAAACCGAAAGAAATCATTACACGATACAAGAGTGTGTGTCTTGCACATTTCCGGCTGAGGTTTACGAGTGCCGAAAGCAAAGCAGGCGACCGAACGACTGACGGTTTTGGCCGTGATTATACCGACAAATTTACATTTCACTATGTTGGTTGAGCGCATAATTTTTGGGGATTTCGGGTGGTCATCTGTTTACCAAAATCATATTATGATTTCGATGGCTTAAGCACAAAGGGTCTTTGGTCTCTGGATATGATATCCATAAAGCTATAAAAGGCAAACGAATGAACTTGAGCGAAAATGAAATCGGTGAATTTATTCACTTTCACTTAAGCACACACCGTATTGTGTGCACACATTCACCTCGCATCGGATTATGTCAAGGCTATTGTTGCAAAGTGTCTTTTGCATGGTAATCCTTAGATGTACAATGCTTTTTCTTCTGCCTTTCTTTTGTAAGTCAATTCACCGTGGGCACTCGAGGCAAATGAATAACAGCACGCAGCGAGATAGCGGTTAAAGTGGTGTATCGAAATGGTCATTCAATGAAAATTATCGTCGAGCAAAGGGACAACAACAAGCTAAAGGTGGATTGCTGCGAAACATGAGTACAAGTGACGTTTATTTATGTCCACGCTCAAATAAATGCAATAAGTGTTAGAATTTTTCGACCAATAACAACAACTGGATCAATGGAATGTTTATCTTCATAGGGTTCACGTCCATCTTCCATCCATATCGATTCACAAAACGTTCAACTTCAGAAATACTATTTGTTCCAACAGAAACAATACATTATTTACATTGTTCTCACAATTCCTTTTCGACCAAATTTTATCGTATTTTACTGGCAGATTGATTTCTCCTCGTATCCAAATGCCGCCGAGCTTACTCACCTATTTCGAAAGCAATAAAAACTGTTTGAAAGCCAATAAATTCTTCAACACATTGCCTATATAAATTTTTTTTCTGCATCGGTTTCAACATCAACCTGGTGGTGTTGGCATCGGACGGACCATTGTGCAACAAACACCAACAAAAAGCCCCCATACAAATTATTTTTGTTTCTCTCAACCGTAGAAAAGGTTTAATTTTTATTTTTTCACTTCATGTCATAAAAGCGATTCCGTTCCGAACAGGTGAACAAACACTCACTCTCCCCAAACAACAGCAGCGACTATAACAAGAACAACAGAAACCGTTGATTTTTTTGCCATCTTTCATGAAAATGAACTGTGAAAGTGGGCAACACCATAAAAATTCGGAATGGGAACGGATTCGAATGCGGAATTTCACAAATCATTTTTTTTCTCGTTTGTTTCTATTTTTCCGGTTTTTATCACTTTTTTTCTCATTTTTTATTTACGATTACTTTCCAATTTCCGGCTCTTTCCATATTCTATCATTCGCTTGAAGGACAATTTTTTTTGTTTTGGATGGAAAGCGTTTTTTCCCTGAATGCTTGCAAATATATTTGTAATTCAATTGCATTGGGTTTTTCGTTATTTTCGTTTTCATATTTTTTGCTTTGAATTTTTGTTGTGCTTTTCATTTTTGATAAGCTATTAAACGCATAAATCTTGGTCACTTTTCTATTTTTAACCCCATAAAACACACACAAACCATTTTTTTTCGGTTTTGTTTTTGTGAAACAATGCCTCATGTCCAATCGAAATAATCTGATTAAAATCCATGTTGAAAGTATGAAACATTCTCCAGTTAATTAAGCACAATGATAATCAATAAAGGGAAATTTCGTGCTGAATCGTGTTCATTTTGCTTTTGAACAGAGCTCTGCTTGTGAAAACACTTTGACTACAGATGAAAGAAACTATTCATCACATAACAAACAATGGGTCATTTCAAGGAGAGAACAATACAAACCAACAACAAAAAAAGAGCAACAGACAATGGCTAGTCTCATTGCAAAAAGCCATAATGCTCGATTGCATTGGCAGGTTTTGAAATTACGGACACCGAAACCGCATTGGTGAGCAGTAATTAGTAGTACGAGCAGAGTTTTCAACACGTATTGGTTAAACACAAAATTAGCACAATAAACACAAAGTTCGAAGGAATGATTTACGCAAACACAAATGATGAAATGTACTTTCCAAGCGAAACGATGAGCAAAGTAAAGTGAATAAGTGAGTGAATGAGTGGGTGATGAAATGAGTATTTGAACCTTAACCGAATCAACAGACCATTTGTATGTTTGAAATTGGATCAGCTCAAAGGTATTTTAGTTCATCACACACCAAACGTACTTGACTATAGTTTTCATCCGTTTGCTTCAAGTCGGAAATATATCATACACACATACGCACTGGGAATCATGTTGACGCAATGCGTAGACACTAAATCGAAGTGACAGCATACGATAGAAAAATGAGCCTGTTTATTCCAGACAAATATTTGCGAATTTTTGGGGTGATATTTGGTTAATTTTGCTGTGTCAAGCTACCTAAATTACTGGTTTAGATTGATAATGTTTTTGCTTAGGTATGGATATGTGTCTCGTCCAACTTGGGTGGTTGTCAACTCTTGTTTATGGTAACGGCTTTAATTTATTCATCACCAGCACTATATTCCATTCGATATGCATGTCATGTGCTAAAGTCTCTTTAATTGGCTTTTTTGTTGATTGAAACTCAAACACACACATAGAGAGAGAGAGAGACCATCACCGTAAATCATGGTTGCATTGAAAAGAATGTGGGAAAATCAAAAGATCGGTATTTATGATATGAGTGTTGAGGTTGGGGCCGGTTCACCGTCATTGCGCGTCGCACTCGATTCAAAATGAACCATTGATAAATTGGCGAACGATAATGGTGTTGAACATATATTTAGTTTGCATTGTTTCCAAAAAGTGTTACTATCTATTGTGTATCAGTTATTGCAATCTCGTCCCCACATTGCTAATGGGTGAATTGAGCGAAGTGCATATGTGTATGTGTCGCAAATACGTGTTGAAACGTGTTTGTCGCATAATAATCAATTCACTGGCAAAGTATAAAGCCATAGAACAATGCAAACCGTAAAACACAGCTGCATTGCATACGATCGACATATCGAATGTGTTATTGCAGTCTATATACGGAGAGAGAGGAGGAGAGAGAAATGCACAAACACGTAGATAAATTGCCATTCCAAGCGATCGGCCAACGCCAAAATTATTATTGTAACAATTCATTGATTGAGCAACATGAATGAAACGATGTGCAAAGCGGCAATTGTCGTCTATTTCCTAGCATCAATTCAATTGTACTGAATTGTTTCCCATTCGCTCTGTGCACAGCACCTTAACCATTCGAAATATTTGCAATACACTCTCATGTCATTGTCGCCATAGGATTTCAATCGAGTTGTTTATTGACTTTTGAGATTTGAGCGTGTGTATCAAGCAATTTAAAAGTTTAAGCACTCATTAAGTAGATTCATCCCACGTCCTCGACACAAACATAACACTCACTTGCACATACACAGAGAGATAGAGAGAGATACACCCACCTATTCGGCAGTGCATCGAGGTGAGAGACAAATGTGATAGGAAATCCGTTCCGTTGCAACGCTTCATCATTTTCACATGCGAATGTGAGCGTTCGTGTGGGTGTGTTGGTTTTTGGCATCCGATGCATCATGCAGCTGATGGATACGCAAAACTACATTCACAACTTTAACGTAAACTTTGTTGCCATTGTGATTTAGTTAGAGAATTGCCACCAAACTTGTCATTGTAGCGCAACTTTGATTCGCTTTGTACGGGTGTGTTTCACAACTCGTCCTCAACCGAGCGATAAAATTGTTGCGTTTGTTTGTCTCGAAATTGATAAACTTGTTGCATCCATTCAAAGTTTTCCGAAGTGATTTACCTCCATCTTTACTTTATTCTCCGAAAGACTTTCTCCATGTGCAGCCCAATTGGCGAAACATTCATCCAATAGCCAAACGAATCGACCACTAATTTCATTTTATTGTTTTATGTTTATTTGCAGGTGAATGGCGCATGGGCTCTTCCGAATTTCGTTTGTGATTTTTATATAGCTTGTGATGTAATCTGTTCGACATCATCAATATTTAATTTAGTTGCCATTTCAATAGACCGGTAAGTAAAGTTTTTCCCTTCGTTTAGCTTTAGTTGCCGTTGCTATTGTTGTTCGGTCGTTCAAGCCAGCTTCAGCAGTACGAATCCAAAGCCATACGTACACGTGGAACGGAATGCACAGCAAAGTGATGCTGCCATTTCCGATGGTTCAAAGCGAATCAATAAATCTCCGCAGGGCCGAAAAATGATCGATAGCATAGTGTATCAAATTACATACTATTGACATAGTTTCTACGCTTCTGGAAATTTAATGCAATCGTATGATTTTTCATAATAAAATTTCGGCAGACTCGCTAACAAAGCACAAATCACAAAGGATTCTGTCATGGATGATAATCAAATTTCACATGATTTCAATTCTCTGGACGTTGATGGCAGTGATATCAAATGGCAACTCCATTTGGGGCACACCATCACACGCACAGAGACATGAAGAGCGTTTATCGGTGTCGGTGCGATCAATAAAATCCATGCCATTTCATTTTATTATTATCAGTGTCATGGGCCGGCACATAGTTTGCGTGCGCGCGATGTGTTTTTTTTTGGCTTTCCCTGTCTTCTTCTTTTTTTCTCTTTCGCTCGTTTCTGTTTTTTATGAATAAAAATGCCCTTCCCATTGAATTGATCCGCACGACAATAGTCAGAAAAATTGCATGTCACACACCATGGATTTTATGACCAATTATTTTTCAGAGGGTTATTCGCTGTGGAATAAAATTTATTGCACATCCAACTACTAAGATTTTGCCGTACGAAAATGAGTGTTTAGAACATGAATTTAGCTTGTTTCGCGTCAAATTTATTCAAATGGCCACATTTTCCATTCCGACCGCAAAAGCAGTCATATTAAATTTATCTGAGAGATGAATGCCAAACATTTCCGCACAATTATAGTCCAATGGGAACACTATACGTTCGATTCATACGACTGGAAATGTAAAACCAGAGCGGGTCCCATAAACTCAACACACACACACACACACACATTTCCCGATGATGATGCCACAACACTCATTTATCATGTAAATTAGTAAATTTTTTAGAAACTTAATCTGTATGTCCAGGTTTCCCTTGCTCTCCCTTGCTCTCCCTCTTCCACTCTGCGCATGAATTTTTTTTTTTGGTCGACCGACCCTTCGGCGACCACCATCCTCAATCACAGCGACAATAATCAGAGTGGATTCAGATTAAATGTTGTATCTGTTCAAATATAAAGCCGGATATCAGACGAGTAAAATTTTAAATGACAAAAATGAAAAGTCAAAGGTGACACAGGCTTTTCGTAGCGAAAAGACAAGAATTAGGTTTCATAAATCATGAACGAAGCAGATTCGTTGGTTCAGTACAAGAAATGTCTGCGTTGGCTGGATAAAAAAAAGTACATGAAGGCAAAAGTAAAAGCATAGGCTAATCCAATTCGCATTTAATAAGAATGTCTTAAGTCAAAGCCAAAGCTAGTCCAATTTATAATTCATGGATCGCTCTGATTGTCATCGGCAACGACGGAATGCTCGCATATCACCATCACTTCGTCATGTACCGGATGAACAACAGACTTTAATTGGATTTTAGACAAAATTGGATTAGGCGTTTTTCTCCTTTATCCCTAAACGTTATAATGGGAGTATCAATTTTATTTTCATGACGAAGAGAAATTGAACATTCAATCATTTTTGTCTATTTATAAATTTTTCATTGTGATTATGCAGAAGAAAAAAATGTGTGCAGCTCGAATTATGTAAATCACGTTCAAGCGAGACGCACATAAATTTATCAAATCAAAGATCTTATCTGCAACAGCAAAAATGAACTGGTGTCGCAAAAGCGAGCCATTTTTGTTTTGTTTTGTTTTGACATCTGATGCGCATCTATTGTGTCAATGTCGTGAATAAACGACGGCAGATCGAACATAAAACACGACGTGATTTCTGTAGAAAGCAGCTGAAAAAAGCACGTCGAAAAGAACAACCATATCTTCCATTGGATGGAAACAATGTGTAGAAATGGTTCTTCGATAATGCATTTCATATTTTGCGATAATTTTTGCAACTCTGCCATTCTCATTCCATCGCAATCCAACGAATATAATGACTAAGTGGCAGAAAAGCCCGTTTCTCAGACTAAACAAAAGCCACCGCCACTGAATGGCTATGCAGTATCACTTTTCGTTTGCCACTTTTGTGCAAGGCCCGTCGCACAAACTCCTTGTCAAGAAATTTCTATCGCTCTCGCTCTTAATTATTATTAATGAATGGCATTCAATAGCGCGACAGTCTTTTAATTGAAACAAATTTCATGTGCGTCAAGTGGTCTTTTGTGAGTTTGTGCGAGAAACAACTTTTAATATTTTTGCGGAGCCACAAAGTGCGGTGGCAGAGAAAAGAAAAACATTGTCGCCGCACGGTTCGTCAAGAGCAAGAAATCTTTTGTGACACGCGTAAAAACGCTTCTAAAGAATTTTTTTCTCTTTCTCTTGCTTTCTCTCCATGCAACCACATAACCGCAAAAACACACTCGAAAATACCCTACAAAACATAAACAAAAAGAAGGAGAAAAAACAAAACAATGCGCGAAGAATCAAAAGCCGTTCAACTTTTGCAGCATATATCTTCTCGCTCGTCAACAATTTTGTGTTTATGAGGAGTGAGCAGCCGTTTGATTTCTCGAGTGTTTAGCACGGAAAAATATGCAGCAATATATGGCAGCCATGTTCAGACGACGACATTGATGTTGATGAAGATACGATGTGAATAGTAATTATTGCTTTGATGCATTGATTTTTCAATGGAAGAATATAGGACGACTTTAATCACAGCTTAGACACTCCAAAGTCTCACTTCATTTCATTGGAACGGGCGTCAATGAATGCTTCACAACCATCAATGAATTCGGGCGAGCATTCGTTCATTCGAACGAATGCGAGAAGCAGAAAATCAATACACATGTTGATTAAAACACTTTTTCATTCAAGTGGTAGTGCTTCACGTCGCTGCTTCGCCTCATTGATTGTGCAACATCAGCTGAATTTCTATAACTTGTCAAGTGCTTTCGGCTACGCACCTCTTCTTTTGACATTTACCATGATTTTTTCATTCAATTTTTTTTTCCTAACTGCCTGTTGTTTTGCTGCTGCTGCTGCTGCTGCTGTTGTCGAAATCAACATTTTAGTTTAAGCAAAATGTTTGCGTCATAATAAATCGATTATCCAGGTTCGATTGCCGCTTCCTCTCATCCACATGGTAAAAAATATTCCACATTCACATTTTTGTCATATTTCTTCGGTGAAACCTCTCATACATCATTAATATGGAGAAAGAACATTTGAAAAATGACCGCACCGAGTGACGGACGATGGAGGGTCGAGCAGATAGAGGAGAAAGAGAGACAAAGAGTGGGAGAGAGAGAAAGAAGAACTACGCATAATCTCCATAGAGCGCATTTTATCTGGTGTCAGTGAAAAAAAAAGATAAAGAAATAAAACTACACGGCAAAAATACATGAATGAATAAATGTGCGTTTAATTGAATTCGCTGAAGTATTTATTGGACAGCAGATCAATTCATTTGGTAGTTTCATTGCTTATTCATGCCATCAATCGTCCAGTTTATATATTTATATCAAACCATACATATAATCATGATAAATTATTATTTTCCCGATATATTTGTACCGGACCCTCTGATCATGTTGAGCATTATAAATTAAATGGCTTTCGCATGCAACAAACACAATACCGACGAGACCAGAAAAACAATGCGACCAAAAAAAACCATGGGATAATTTGTGCCGCCTCAATTCTGCATGCAAAATGATAAGCACGGAAGCCTGTTATTAAAAAAAACCATTCAAATGGTATTTTGGTTCTCATTTGACTTCGACGTGACCATAAAATACTGCAAAAGCTTATCAATTTGTTTAATAAGCACCCACATTGAGTCCGAGCAATTGGACAACACTTTAGTTTGAATTGACATTTTTTTTTTGTTCTCGTTCCTAACGTTGGTGTTTTTTGTCTTCCATTTTTTCCAGATATATAGCCGTAACGCAACCGATCAAATATGCAAAGCATAAAAATAGTTTACGCATATTCGTCACAATACTGCTGGTGTGGGCCATATCGATAGCAATCGGTTCACCCATTGTGCTCGGTTTAAACAATACACCGAACCGTGTACCGGACCTATGCGCTTTTTTCAACACAAATTTCATCATATTCTCGTCGTTAGTCAGCTTTTATATACCATGCATCATAATGGTATTTTTGTATTGGAATATATTTAAGGTAGGTGTCGTACAAAATGTATATAATACCCAATCCAGTCAACCATAAAATCAAGGCGATATTATTCTATCATATCTATTAGAATCTTGACTAGGTTTGCATGCATTGTACGACAAAGTTTTCTGTCACTCGGCCACTCGGCTAGGTTACAAATCCAATTTTGGGATAAATTGAGTGGCAAATGCTTTGAATGTAAATGTCACGACAGCAAACTATTTCTTCGGTCTAAAACGTATTTAATATGTATGCAACTGGTTATTTAGATGTTTGCCGATTTAAAGCTAAGAGAAACTTTGGTCCTATCAATGGCCGCTGGAAATGTACACTAAACATCGAATCAAACTTTATTTGACATGCATTTTAAAGTAATTCGGTTGACATTTGTTTTCTATATATTGGTTATTTCGCAACGTTTTGCCGTCCCAAAATTTTATTTATCAACCATGACACTATTCGAGTAAACTTTGCAGCGAAAATATATGTGCACATCACTCATACAGAGATAGACACATACACATAATAAAATCACATCAAATGCATATGTATTCTCCTTAGCCTCGTAACAGCTAATGTTATTGTGGCGAATGGAATTGTTGGCATTTCGTAAAATATAAAGTACAAAACAACAGAATTTGCAAACCACAAACGAGAAAGTGATGCCACACACAGCGAGCTTAACTTCACACTGAAATGGAAATGTTGAAAGTTTCACGAAATGATGTTACGATGATGATATGCGCGTGAATAATGAATGGTTCTGGCATACATATGTCCCTCACTGTGTGTGTGTGCATGTGTAAATTGAACTTAGTTCAGTTTGCTATCAACGGGTAATGGGGAGAAAATATCGACATTTTCACAATATATGGTAATTCATGTATACATCGAGGCTGGGCGTTTTGCATCCAAAAACTGTCACAATGTATTTTTGTTGCAACAAGTTTGCAACACATCGAAACGAGTTACTCCAAGGAGACTCATTTCATTTTGCCAAATAACTTTCTCGAACAATGCAACCAAGGTTATAGAAAGCCAACTAACTAAGTTATCCGGATGATTCACAAAAAGTGTCTTTTACTCGACACGATGAAATTTGCACGCAATATATTTTCGTCGATGCAAAGACGTCTTGATCCTATTGAAGTAATCTCCTCTCCGCAACAATGCACCCAAATAGTTTGTAATTATTCATTAGTTTCTCTCGAAATGTCTTAAGGGCTGATATTTCAATTGCGATTCTATTCACTATTTCAAAACCACATATATACAATGTTCTATAATGATCAATACCTGAAGAAGAGTCTTTCACTGTTTTAAGTTGCGAAATTGTCACCAAACAATGGATTCAAATTGATCTTTATTAATGTTGGCTAGATATTTCTGGGCTCAATCACACAGTTGATCATAAATTTCGGTTAATTCCGACGAAAATTTAATTTATTTCGTCTTTGAAGTGGTTTCGAGTGATATTTGTACATATTCATTGGCCATTTGTGTTCATTAACTCGAAGATTCATTTGGCTAATGGACGGTCGTTTGTATCTCTCAAAAAGGCAATTTCATTAGCAATTAATCGGTACAAAGTAGCTGCTGAGATTGAAGAAATGACTGAAACGCCAACAAATAATGAACATGTGCTGTGAGTGAGTGAGTGCGTCGGTTGCAATTACAGAGTCAAATAATATCAACTGCATACATTATGTATGTACTCATTTCAAAGTAGAGAAACAACTCGCAGGCACACACACACACATACACACATATCACAGCTAGCTACAGCGAATGACTCAAGAATAATGCGTAATACCAACCATATTATCCGTCTGAATGAATGCATTAAATGCCAACAACTGAATCGCATCACGCAAGTTTAAATGAAATAAGCATGTTGACGGTTGTGTTTGCTCAACGAATTGTAAATATAAGTGGGCTTTTCCAACGGAAATCATGTCGGAATACAATAATATGATTTTCAACGATATAAGTACTATAGCATGTATAAGAGCACAGAGATACATGCAAACATATCTCCTGGAGCGCTTGAGTCGATTTCACTTGAGTTGCCGTGCATGCTATGGCGTATTTACGAAACAGAAAATTATTGCAATCGAAGTAAACATCCTGTCAATGGTTGGTTACTTAATTTTCATCATCATTCTCGTTTTCCTCTCTGCTGCAAATGGCACAGGCACTTAGAATGCGAGCGAAAAAGCAAAGAGCAGCCAAAAAACCAAATTTAGCGGATTTCACAACTGGAGGTAGTGTCATCGAAAATATTGCGCAAACGAGACGATTGGCTGAGACAACGTTAGATAGTAGTAAGAGCGGTTCGAGAATAATGCCCGACGATGCGCCAACCAATACGGCATCTGGTTCGAATGAGGACGAAGACGAAAATGCTGCGTCACCCGATGTTGACGACTGCCATGTAATTGTTAACGACAAATCGACTGAATTCATGCTAGCGACAGTTGTCGAAGAAACGGGAAAGTAAGTACTCTAGATAGATAGTAGCAAAAATAACAACACACACACAAAAAAAAACCAGAAACAATCGCTTAACTTTTTCTTTCCAATACACAAGCTATTTCGCGCTTTCTTTCCCTCTTTTACTTCAAATTCAACTTAAAATAACTTCACTCCCTTTTTTTAACTATAAAACTCTACTCTGAAAAAAAAAACGACTTTTTACTCGCTTTCTACCCAAAAAGAAGAACAAACCGAAAAAAATTAAACGAAACTATAAACCCGTCATTTATTTACAAATCGATTGCTATGCTCCTGCCTTTCCAAATTATTTATTTTCAATTTCTTTTGCATTTTCTCTATCTTTTTACCTTTTTCTCTTCCTCTATCGCATCTATAAAATGCCTGCTCTGTTAAAATCATGTCAATAAAAAAAAAAACCGAACGCAAAAATGAACCCATTTAAATAAATACAGTACTTATAGTGTTGTGGCACAAATCACGACATCGCCGTCACAATGCGTCGTTATGTCGTCCGATCCGAATGGAAACCACGATTCGGGCTATGCACCATCAAATATTGAAGACGCTGTAGCTGGTACAAGTACACCGCCAGAGAGTCCACAACATCGTAAATGCACCGACAGTGGCGGGACACTGAAACGCAGCAGTTTGAACAAACGTAATGGAATTGACGGTTCACCGAAACGTGAAGCAGTCAGGTAATTGAATAAATTCACTTTCCATTTGCTTTCGTTACGTGCTATGTTGATCTCTTCTGTCTTTCTTTCAATTTTAAAATATTGATTTAATTTTCTGATGCTTTTGAACTAAGCCAAACCAAACAAAAAATTTCCATTTTGCAGCATGGGAATGAAACCATTATCGATTGTACGATACGGAGTACAAGGAGCTTTGTCACTAACGCGAAACGATTCGACTGTATCGACCAATTCGCGTGGATCACGCAAAGACAAGAAAAATTCACAGGCATCTAGGTGAGTGGAAGTATCAAGTTTGACTATTTGTTTCAATAATAGTACGACTAAAAAAGCGAAAAAAGTACACACACAGAGAAGCTATAAGAACTAGCAGTAAAAAAAAAACATAGGGATTTACTTGTTATTCAACGCAAAAGTTTTTCATTTTGTTATTCTTTTCTCTCTTTACTTCTATTAAAACTTTATTGGAATCCAATAGAAGAGAAAAAAATTACGAAACTTTTTCACAATTTTTCTTTTTCAACTATTTGCGTTCATTTAACATTCATATACATATTATATCTCTTTCTCTTTTCTATTCGACTCTCGATAATGAAAAAAAAAAACAAAATTCGCGAAAAAAAAAACATTTGTATTTGTAAATGGCGCACGTAAAGAGTGAGCGGTAGTTTTGTTGCGATTACATCAAAAATGTCTCAGAATCTTTCGTAAGTTGAAACGTATCATCATAATAGAACTAGACAAACTACACGAAAACTTCGCAAGTTCACACAAAGTCCCACGCACTTTTAGTGACGCGTCGCATCTTACCAAATGAATAAGAAACCAAATCACATACACACACACAAACACACACGCAATTTTGAAAGTAAAAAGTGCACAAACCATCTGCAGCAAAAACCTCCCAAATCGGCTCACGCTCAAAATATCACTGCAACCACTTTTAGTTAAATACCTTTGACATTGCACCTCTCTCTCTCTACACATATATACATATTAATCTCACTGTGTCTGTGCCATTTGACCGCTCCGATACATTTGATTTCTGCTCCAAAACTTATCAAAACCGTAGCATTGCGATGTCAACCGTATATTTGATATCCATATTCCGCAACAACACATGGAAACTAATCAAAAGATAAGTTCAAGATTATTGCATGACAGCTGAAAAGAGAGATAAGTCGACCAATCACGACGGAGAAGATGGTTTTGTCTTGGGGCGATCGTTGTTTAATTAAGTGCTGCCAAAATGTCTGCGGTCGGTTGTATGCAATGGTCATGATTTTTGTTCCCATCGGACTTGAAAATCTCGAACACATACACACACACACACTGTGCGTGCATGCCGTTTCGGTGAAACGGTTTGGTCACGAATTGATATTTGTAGTCACCGAGTAATATTAGGCATTTCCCAAATGATCTCTCTCTCTCTCTCTCTCACCATCTCTTTCCGCTAGAAATGAGTCGACCCAAATCCTGAGTGTCCTTTTGATTTTGATGTTTCTATCTGTATGTCTCACTCATATTATATGAACGATTGAACAACATCGCATTTGTTGCATGTCATTTTAACAACCTTCCCCCGTTCCAACTCTGTGTGTATTGTGTATACTATAATATATATCCATAGCAAAACCACAACAGACAAAATAGAATGAATAAAAATCGATTACAGAAAAAAAAAAATTAAATTTAACCAAAAAACGTGACATTTTTTTTCGAAACCAAACTGAATTTTTGTTTTTCTTTGCCGAATAAACAACAACACCAAAAGCGATAATAAAATCGAATTCAAAATTTCTCTTCGTTTTTAGACCGACATCAAGTCTTCCCGTCGTGGCAGAGGATGATGAAAGGTTAAAACCAATTTATATCTCCAACACTCTAATTCTAATTTTTGAGCCGTAATAAATAGAAAACCAAAATTGCGAATTCCATGTTTTATACGTTCCGTATTTTTTTCCATCAACTGAAAAACATATATAAGAAAAACACAAATTCATTTTTCCCTTGTAGTATAAACGATATTTGCATATTGAATGTTTTGCGTTTGTTCAAGCATTTGATGTCTCATTTTTCTTTCGTTTCGTTGTTATTGCGTGCGTAGACTTGGTATTGGTAAACAAAATGGTTGCGTTCACTGTTCTTTTGTTTGAAATGAATATTGTTTGTCTTGGTAATAACATACATCGAAAAAGTGATTTTTCATAAAAACAGATGTTGAAATGCCTGATTATCGAAACATTTATAAATGAAAAGCAAGTGTTATTGTTGCCGAGCCCAGTATGGGGCATGTAAATTTAATGAATTTTTCATTTACTTTGATAAATTAATTAATTTCAACGAAAAGAGTCAATTCCATCTTTTGCATGGATCATTTATAATATAGGTTTTCACTCTGCCAACGTTCATTATCTCAATCCAATGCATTCGCTGACAAAAGGGAGGGGGATGGCTGGCAGACAAGATAATTAAGCATTTCTTTAACGATTTTGGTTGGAAAATTCCCACAACACACCCTGACCGCACAATGTGTGCTGTTAAAAACAAGAATAAATTGTATGGCATTTTTCGTTGCCCCGTTGTTATTCGCTGGTTAAATTTTTACCGAAGCCAAAAAGTTTGTGTGTTCATTGTTTTGGATATTGGTTGAAAAAAAAAATTTCTTAGACTTTTTGCGTCGAACTTCATAAGAATTCATGAGTTTTATTTCAACATGTTCTTTTTGTTGTTGTCTTGATGGCATGATATTTCATCACCTGTAGAGCTGTAGACATTGATTTCATAATTTCTCGACAACGATGACAAGTGAACAACAAACACGAGGAACAGGTTGGAGAGTAAATAACGTGCTGAACTTCCAAACCATAACCACTTGATAGGATCGAAAGCCGTATGCAATTACTCTCTACAAATTCGATATATGTTTTCGGTTGTCGTGAGCGATTTTTCACTCGTCTAAACATTGCTATCATATCAAAATTGTATAGACGTGAAAAATCGTTACGACGGCTTCTGAAACTAGCAACGATTCTCCGCTCTCCCGAGAAAAAAAAAACAACAACAACGTACCAATACACACAAAATATTTACAAGACGCCATAAATATTTGATCATCGTTCGTGTTTCTGCTTGTGTTCGTTCCTGTTATGTTTGATCAAAATCATTTTTGTAGTGTAATTGACACATGGTATAGCCTGTCGACTCTTTTCTTGGTTTTGTTTGCTACTTGCATGTTTACATTATTTTTTCTTGCCTCATCGTGTTGATGGTTGGTGCTTCTGAAATTCGACGAACTAGTCGGTTATCCGACGACGATTGTCGTTCAGGTGAATTTTGTAAAACGTTTGCCAACTTTTCACTGTTGAGTCATCAGTGGTGACCTATAAAGTATAACTTTGCTCAGGATCAAATGATGAATACGCAGCGGACGAATGCTTTGTTGTAATTGTTTTTGCTTTTGCTTTTCTTTCCTAATTTCGATTTACTTGCTTATGTAACGGCATACCAGTAAATCTAAATAGTCAAACCCTTAAGCACATTTTATTTATGTTGGTTTGCATACTTCTTTTTTCTTCACACTTTCCTTTCTTTTCTTTTCGATTCTCTTCTTCTTCTACCATTTCGAATAGTTAGAGAGTGAAAAATAAAATGCATTTAGTGCAAATTTGAAAATAGTGATTCATTTAAAAGTGTATTTATGGTATGCTTTAATGGTTTTCCTTCCAGATTCACCATATACAAAGTACATAAAGCATCGAAGAAAAAACGCGAGAAATCATCAGCGAAGAAGGAGCGTAAAGCAACAAAAACATTAGCCATAGTCTTAGGTAAGTTTGGAAAAGCGGTTGAATTGAGCCGACGCCCTGTTTTTCTTTTCTTTTTTCTTCTTGGTTCAATTTCAATTTTCGCACTTGAAACTGAAAACAAAGTGAGAGAGAAAAAAATCAACGCAAAAATTGTCTCTCTTTTTTTATTTTTCCTCTCGATGTTCGTGTGTGTTTGTGTTGGCCGACACAAGGAGATTTATGTCGAAAGAACGATTGCACATTTCAGTGAATAGCGCCCATCGCATTTACACACGCTCAGCTATTTCGATTATTTATTCTCAAGCCGAGGCATTTTGAAGCTCACCGAATAATTCACACTTGTGAGAATTTGTGTGCAGCTTTTGTATGTGCAATATTTTGTCGGCAACAAACCAACAGACAACAACAACAACAACAAAAAACGTGAGCGTTTGCTCAGCCACTTTGTGTTGCTACCAAACAAATCGCCCGAGAAACGTGCAATTGTTTATTCTTCGTTTGTTCGGCGAACACACACACACACACACACATAAAATCGCATTCAAAGTTGGCTCATAAGCAGACGGATGAGAAAGAGAAAAAGCTCCAAAAGAAAATAATTCCAATTGGAAAAAGTTTTATTTTTTTTTCGTTAGTTATTTTCTTTGTTTCATCCGGCTTATAGCGAAACTTTTAAAACGATGTGTAAATTTAACGCTGAATCTCTTTTTCTCTCTTGTTTTTCATCGTTACGCTCTTGCTGTTATTGCTACGGTTGCTGCTGCTCCTGCTGCCTTTACTGCTGATGCTGTTACTGTAACTACCGATGATATCTTGTGTAATGTGTGACTATGTGTATTTGCTACACGTTCAATGAATGCAGGTGTTTTTCTAATTTGTTGGGTACCATTTTTCTCATGTAATATCATGGATGCAATGTGCACGATATTTGGATTGCAATGTTCGCCGGGTGTTACGGCATTCATACTCACCACTTGGCTCGGCTACATGAATAGTTTCGTAAATCCGATTATTTACACCATTTTCAACCCCGAATTTCGAAAGGCATTCAAAAAAATCATGAATATCAAATAAGCGCTAGTAAGAGTAAATCGATTGAAAATAGCAACAACAACATCAACCATAATACTACTCGTGTAGTGTGTACTAAAGCTACATTGTTTGTGATTTACTTAATCAACCAAAGAGGATAAACGAAATTCGGTCGACGATTTGCGACAATTTTCCAAACATCCGTTGAATAGCTCAATACAACTATATCGTGTTCGTTCGATCACAGGAAAAAAATAACAGAATATACACATACACACACAGAGAGAGATAACCAAACTCTCACTCTAGTCTTACAAAACTGAAACATACGAAAACATTACCAAAGCGTTTTTAGATAAATTGCAAAAGAGAATTACGTTTTTAACTTTTAACAAAAAGAAAATACTATCTCCATAGATAAATGGTTGTAAATACAGATTAGATTGTAATCAAATAATTTCCAATGATGCGAATGAATGACAGACACATTCCATAGAAATCTAAATGTGAATGTTGAGAATAAAAAAACAAAGAAAATGACATAGCATACATAGGTAACATAGAAAATCGCATGTAATAATTTCAAAGAGAAATTCAAAGCAAACCATTCCATTTGTACATAACGATAGAAAGAGACAGAGCTAGACATAGAGAAAATAATTCGAGTATAGAATATGTTAGTTGGTGCCAAGTAATTGAACAATGAACACACATACAAACACACACACAGCATGACTAATCAATGTTCAGACATTAAGTGAAAATTTTATTAGCTAAATTGTAATCTGATTTTCAGCAAAGAAAAGACAGATAACTAGAGACAAATTGATGCATGCCTGTATATAAATTTGATTCCGTGTTGTTATTTGGCACATTTTGATTAGGTTAAATGAATCATTTAAATTCTCATCATTTTGTAAATATACTCGAGTTTGGATATAGAACTTGGTATTCAAATGGGAACCAAAACTAGTGTATAAATGATAGAGGGGAGAAAAAAAGAAATGAAAATGAAGAAGATGAAAAAGCGGAAAATCTAATCAAAACGATTAAGTTCTATATCATTCCATAGCCGTAATCATATTGAAGTGTTGCGCTCGATTGAAGCCGATGTTCGATATCCCTAATGAAACAAAATCACTTGTGAAAATGATGATGATGATAACGTAGCACGTATAGAGATTTGAAATGTGTATATATTTATGACGATTGTCCCACACAGAGCAACAATAAAATGTTGTTGACTAAAATTGAACACACACAAAAAATACATATCGATTGAAAATTTGCTACAACACACACACACAGCAATCCAGTCGCTGTGAGATGAAAGTCATAACCTAACCTATTTTAGTGCTGATGTATATGCTACAAATGCAAAGTGGATGATCCGCAACCCTTTTACTAAATTGAGCACTAGCACATCACACTCTCCCGTTTTGGATCGTGTGTAAACTAACGAAGCAAATCTAATGGTTTTCATTTTGGAATAAAACGAAAAACAAACACACATAAAATCTTTTACATTTTAAATGGCAATATCACGCAGAAGACATGATGAATTCCCAATGAATTCCGTTAGATTTTCACTTAATAAATTCACATCTCGCATTTCTCGTTTCCGTATCAAAACCCGTCAGACACAACAACATGTAAAACGCTTCCATTTTCAAATGCATAATACATAATACCGTTATCGCCATCACACATACACAACACCACCATCAAATTCGATATTTTTCATATTCCAACATCATTTTGACCGTGTAGATAATTTTCGTTGTGATTTATCATTTTTCGTGCCACTCAGTTGTAGATACATATAAATGAATACAAAAGAAAAAAAAAAATAGTACACTGTAAGTTTTCGGAGGGGAATGAGTAATCTAAATGCAGTGCGAAATAGCGGTTTCAACTGTTTTTGGATGAATTTACACTAATTTTGGGGGAAAATGTGCTATTGCTTATGCGAATGCTCAAGTGGCTACTATTCATATACGTGTCAATACATAGACACGCACTGGTCACCAAGCCTGTGCAGTTGCATGTATTGTAAATTTTGTACACAGCAACTCGTTCAATACATACAACGGCACAGACTTGGTGACCAGTGCGTGTCTATGTATTGACACGTATATGAATAGTAGCCACTTGAGCGTTCGCATAAGCAATAACACATTTTCCCCTAAAATTAGTGTAAATTCATCCAAAAACAGTTGAAACCGCTATTTCGCACTGTATCTAGATTACTCATTCCCCTCTGAAATTTTGGTGTGTACGTATGTGTGTATGTGGAAAAATTGCTAGCTCAAGAAAATCAACTAAATTTGAAGAAATTGATTTGGCCCCAAATCATGATCCGATTTCAGGTCAAAATGCAATTTCATTGAAAATATGAGCCCCATTGTGATGAGTGAATTCACACTCATCGTGTTCATTTTCTTGAATTTATCGATTTTTCACATTCTTGCAACAAAAGTCAAACTTATTTGTTGATTGCTTTAAAAGAAACCCTAGACGAAGAGGAAAAAAAAATGAAAATATCTTAATATAAAATCTAAGGAGCTATTGACAAATTTAAACTAAAAAAAAAGAACATCGGGATTAACGAAATGAAGAGAAAATAAATAAATATTGAAGTAAGGAAAAAAACAATATTACTAATGTGACATAGAAATGAACTAATACAAATTATATATTCCGCTGTTTAAAGCTCAAATTCGGTTCGATCCGTTTAATATAGTTTAGGCATCGCAAACAAAAAAATAAAATTAAATTAAATAAAATAGGCGAACTGTCGAAATCATGCTCATCAAATCAAGATTTATATATTATTATATGAGAAAACCGACTAATTTATATATGATATAAATGTTTAGCATGACTAACTAAGCACACTGACCGTACTTACAATTTTATCCCATTAAAATGAAAACCTCTCTGCAAAACGCATACACAAAGCCACGATGTAAATGGAACAAAAAAAAAGAGCATACACACACATTTCTAAATGAATTTCCCATCTGAAACGAAGAAAAAGGAAACAAAACTGTTGAAATGAATGTTATACTAACGATAAATATATTTTATTTAAAAAATAATGAACAAAAGTTAGCCCCTCAATCAGATCTCTGAACAAGTTCACATTGGTGTTACTTAGCCGTAAAAAATAAACAAATTGATAGTGGCATGCAATCGATCAACGTTGATTTTAGCGCATGTGAGACAGAATACAAAAGAAAAAAGTATTTGAAAAACCGAAGAAAAAACTAGTGAATTATGAGCAAAATTGATGATTTATTATTAGCGTAAAATTAACACTTATTTTTACTACAATTACAGGGTATTTGCATTCGCATTCGCAATTCAAACAAACAAATAAATTCGAACAATCTTTTTACTTTTGTATCGAAGAGTTGAGATCAGATCTGTCCCTCTCACTCTATCGCTCGCTCGCTCGCTCATCTAACAATGGATTCCCTAATTGATGCATCGAATGTTGCAATTGTAGTATCATCGGATGTAATTGAATTTTACCCCGAGTCGTTTATCTGCCATTCAAAAAGCAAGCCAAACAGTGATAATTGAATGAAATAACCAGGGAATTCGTTGCAATGCTTTCATCACTCACGCTACCACACGCATCTATGTATGCGTGTGTATGTGAGTGTGTGTGAAGTGATTAAATTACGTACCACCCCGTTCACTTGATGGAATTCCCTTAGCTAAACACAACAACATGTTCCATTTAATTTAGTTGTTGAATCTATATAGTTCCGATTTTTTTTTTTCGGTTTCGTTGTTACATTTTCTGTTTGGTTCATTGTTGAATAATATGTTTCATTTCATGATATTTATCCATTTGTTAAAGAAAAAAGCTTCCAAGCTCCTGCTGTTACCAAGCTATCGCACATTTGTTTACTTCACTTGATACATAATTCAATCAAGTGCTTTATCCCCGATCGATTCGAGAAGAAGAAAAACACAAACACAATTGGCAAAATTTAAACTCCAACTATTTCCATTTTTAAATGTGGAAGAGAGGGAAGAAATTCAAATCTATCTAAAAGTATAGACGAACAAACACATCCGATCAATTCCAAATAAAATAGTTTAGAATACTGACACATGTGTATGAGAATAAAATGGGAAAATTCCACTACACAAGATAAAAGAAAAACTCTCTCTTTCACTTCGCAGAAGGAAAAAAATGCAAGAAAATAGCAAACCAAACATAAAATGACTCATGACTATTAAATAAATGTACAGAAAGTAATGTCAAATAAACATTTATCGATATGTTTGAAAATTATTCATTTTTAACGGCATTTTTTTTTTCTGCTTTCATGTGTAAACAGTGTTCGTGCTGCTTTGGCTGCACTAATAAATGGTAAGTGAGTCATAATTCGTGACTGATGATGATTTCATGTTAGTGATATAAATCTGAATTTGGCTTGTAAGTATGATTGCTTCGTTGTAAATTGAAAATTCTCTTTATAAACATTTGACTTTGATGAAGCGACGGAAAAAGTGAAACAAAAATACATTGAATTCCAATTGAAATTGAAAATGAAGAAGTTGTGTACGTAACTTTTATTTAGTAATCATTGCTGTATTGATTTGATTTGATTCGTCGGCGTTGTCTTTACTTTGATTAAACTGAATTACAACAAAAAATGCTAGCGAAAATGAGAGGCAAATTCGCATGAATTAAACTTTTTCGATTGAATGTTCAATATTTGTGCCAATGAATCAGAAGAGAATTCGTGAAATGAAAACTCTAATTAATTTCATTAGTTTTCTCGAAAATTTTTCCATTTCTCCCAGAGATATGTTTCGATGTGCATATATTTATCTTTGTCTTGCCGTCTATTTGAACTGTATCTCCGTCGGTTTTGCAAAAATCTCATTAAATAATTACAATTTGGGTATGAGTGGGTGTATAAGTCTGTACATTGAGAGTTCACTTATATCCGATACGAGAATCTTCAGAAACTTTGTATTCGTTGAAATAAACCAGTTTAATCAGTCGAAGCTCATGCCGCATAAAATTGCAAGAAAGTCGATTCTTGTTGAATTTGTTAAACACGGATCCCATTTTGTTAGTTTCAACAAGTTATTGCTAAGTTATTCTCAAATTTAATTGCACTCTTACGTAAATAATAATTTTTATTAATTAAACGCATCCAAACTAGGGTTGTCGTTTTATTGCACTGTTTTGCATATTCGATGGCATTATTTATGCATTTAAGTCAT